GACTCATCTAGTGATTCGATCCCCTCTAGGAGATCACCCCAGCATTTGACATCCTTCAAGGCAACCATCATCCCACTAGCCTTTACTGATCGACTCACCTAGTGATTCGATCCCCTCTAGGAGATCAGCCCAGCATTTGACATCCTTGAAGGCAACCATCATCCCACTAGCCTTTACTGATCGACTCACCTAGTGATTAGATCCCCTCTAGGAGATCAGCCCAGCATTTGACATACTTGAAGGCAACCATCATCCCACTAGCCTTTACTGATCGACTCACCTAGTGATTCGATCCCCTCTAGGAGATCAGCCCAGCATTTGACATACTTGAAGGCAACCATCATCCCACTAGCCTTTACTGATCGACTCACCTAGTGATTCGATCCCCTTTAGGAGATCACCCCAGCATTTGACATCCTTTAAGGCAACCATCATCCTACTAGCCTTTACTGATCGACTCATCTAGTGATTCGATCCCCTTTAGGAGATCACCCCAGCATTTGACATCCTTTAAGGCAACCATCATCCTACTAGCCTTTACTGATCGACTCACCTAGTGATTCGATCCCCTTTAGGAGATCACCCCAGCATTTGACATCCTTCAAGGCAACCATCATCCCACTAGCCTTTACTGATCGACTCACCTAGTGATTCGACCCCCTTTAGGAGATCACCCCAGCATTTGACATCCTTTAAGCCAACCAACATCCCCCTAGCCTTTACTGATCGACTCACCTAGTGATTCGATCCCCTCTAGGAGATCAGCCCAGCATTTGACATCCTTGAAGGCAACCGTCATCCCCCTAGCCTTTACTGATCGACTCACCTAGTGATTCGATCCCCTTTAGGAGATCACCCCAGCATTTGACATCCTTCAAGGCAACCATCATCCCACTAGCCTTTACTGATCGACTCACCTAGTGATTAGACCCCCTTTAGGAGATCACCCCAGCATTTGACATCCTTTAAGCAAACCATCATCCCCCTAGCCTTTACTGATCGACTCACCTAGTGATTCGATCCCCTCTAGGAGATCAGCCCAGCATTTGACATCCTTGAAGGCAACCGTCATCCCACTAGCCGTGTAGGGATGACGACAGTTGAGTGCGTCACCTAGCAACAGGCAGCCGGGTTTCTGGACAGGCGCAGAAGGGATGTAGTAAGTAGGAACTATGCGAATACGAACAGAATCATTCTCCATAGCTGGTCCTACCATTTTCTTGAGATGCTCTGAAATTAAAAGTGAGTTAAGAGGAGAAATACTTAGTGATATCTCTTACAGCTACTGAAGTATATAAACGAGGAACAGTGAGCATTTTGCTTTTCGTTGAGGCTTGATTCAGCCTCTTTCCTTTATATTTTTTCTACTGTCAGTTTACCGCTCTGCACATGTCAAGCTAGGATGCGAGGTATGACACTGATTTACGAACATGCTACCATTTCCCTTGCAATACATGAAGTGATTTTGAAAAAAAGAAACATCTAATCAGAAATGTAGTTTTGTGGCGTTTGGTTCTTTAATCCCACTTTAACAAAAAAAAATGAAAAAAACATTATCATCAAAATAGAATGTAGGACTTATTATTTCAAGGTGGAATTTCACAATTTATTGTAGTTCTGCATAGCTTAAGCACCTTAGTACCTTAAACAGACATTTACATATTCAAACCTTAGCGTCATATTTTAAAGCGCGAATGCAGTTTTGGTGACCCCCCAAAAAAGAAAGATAAAGAAGAAAAAAAGTAACTTTCATCAGGTTTCTTTTACTTTAGTAGATGGAGGCGCGTGTTAAACCAACCAAAAGCTATATCTAATCCACTTTGTTTTAACAAATACTATACATATGCTTTAAAATATAAAAAGAATGTCATCATTATGTAATTTAATGCTGAATCTTAATACTTTTAGAAATGATTAGACATTTTATTCAAGCTCAAGATCGATTATTTGTGCCAGTGAGGAAGAATGGTGGCGGTTACCTGGGAGTTCCGGATAGATTGTTTCCATGATAAACTGCTTAGGGTTCTTTGGTTGAACCGAAGTGTCGATATCAAACATCAGCCGGAGTGTATCCGGAGCGATCCGGTATACAATTGTCGGGGTGGAATGACACCTAGATATCATAAGTTTATAATATAATTAAGGGTATGACCTTTTTATTCCTCTATAAATACCAAATGTATCGGTTGAAAAGTTTGCATTTTGCTAGAAATGTCATGTAATAACCGATATCGAGATATGTATAAACAAAAATAGATAGAAATATTTTCCTAGCAGAACTTTAATTATCAAAATCATCTTCAGGATCAAATAATCATTTTAATTATACGTTTGCATTGTATCGCTTTACTCCTTTTTTACGAAAATTATTTGCGAAAATGAACAGTTGTACGAGGAAACGTATTGATTTTATTGACGGATGAATATCTACCCAGGAATAAAAGTCACCCCTTGGCCCCCAAACACTGTGTGAAAAAGACCATTAATAATCTTTTATTAGTCATGTTCATCTTTATATCGTTTAAGCAAAATTGGACAAAGTAATCCTGCATACCAGAGCCCTTCAGCATGATGAGCTTTGAAGTCAAATGACTCCTTCAATTTGAAAGCTATGAAGTACGATGTTGGTTTGGTCATTTGATCAAGACTCGCCGTCGAGAACTGCTTGCGAAACTTAGAGAAGGTGCCATCAGCTACTATGGTCAAAGGAGCCCTAAGTATCTGTGCAAGGATAGAAAGAACATGTATCACTTTTAATGGAAAATTAAAAGATGTACAGTTACCTTATAATTTCGAGTATATCAAGCAAGCATCAGAATGAAACTTTGACTCTGTTTGGTCATTGAATTCGATTGTTCAGATCGGGCAGTTGGCTATCTCTCAAGGACGTTCTCAGACATAATTAAGTGAACAGTTCAGATGTGTCGGTTGAAAAGTGTAATATATATCAATGATAATGATGATAACTGCATTTATATCGTTACGTTACCAGGGGATGCAAGCCACTAGCCGTTAGCTTGAGGATAAATGTAGAATGGCAGAGGCATATTTGTCAAAAAATCTTTTTTTAAAGAAATCAACTTGAAGTAAGTACTTAGTTTTCAGAAATGCAGAGAGCTTGTTCCATAGGGACGGGATTACGGATTGAAATGATTTGAAGCCAGTCTTTGGGGATTTGGGAATAGGAAAGGAAGGAGATGATGTCGATCGAAATGAATATGATGTTCCCTGTTGCTGAAAGAATGAGAAGATGTATAGAGGAAGTGTGGTTAACAAAAATATAAAAGTATCCGGTATTGTATTCTCTTAGTAACTGGGTGCCAGTGTAGTTGGTGTAACAATAGGGAAACATGGGACCATTTCGGCTTTTGACATAGTGGGGACTTTTAGATTTGCACGTCGACATAGTGGACTGCTACGCGTGACGGTCCTTTTAAGGCACTGACAGTGCCTTAAAAGAACGTCACATTGCCTTAAAAGGACGTCACACGTAGCAGTCCACTATGTCGACGTGCACATCTAAAAGTCCATATTTATCGAGCACACTGATTCTGGAGAGGTTGGCGTCTTCCCAGGTCCTGCCTACGGAAACCCTCATGCAAGCATCCAAGCCTGGAAAGACCTATATAATCATGTAGGATCTAGGTATTAAGGGAATTGTTACTACCGTGATAAGGCTATAAATTAGCACTGCTGCCATTCAGTGATGCGCCAAGCGGTAATAGTGTCTATTCCTTGCACATTATTTTAGAGACAACATATTATCCACAAGTTTGTTAACGAAAATGTATGAACTGATGGGTGAGTAGGCCTGCCAAGAGCGACGGATCGTCTTTCAAAGTGAAGCGGGGGGGGGGGGGGCATCAACAAAAGGTACCTTGTGGGGGGTGGAAGAAACCTATCAAGAAAACCTGAAAGCGAAAAAAACACTGTATACCACTTTTAAACATTGATAATTATATTCCCTACGTTATGATTACATTTGTTAAGGGATGATTTCAAAATGTGTTTCTCTCTCCGCATCAGCGTCATCTCAGAGGCCTGATGTTTGTTTTGACGGTTCCCAATGTTTGCCTGCTTAAAAATAAATTGTTTGATGGAACAGTTGACACTTTATAGACGTTTGCTAATAAAAAGGCACATTCCGATTCGAAAGTGTCGACAAAAGGCTCGCTTGTTTCCTGCATGGCAAACAGTAGGGACTTTTAGATTCGCACGAAGACAATGGGGATTGCTACGATCGACGTCCTTTTAATGCACTGCCTTGAATGGACGTCACACGTTTCAGTCCACGCAAATCTAAAAGTCCCTATTACATGACTGAGTCGTCTTCAGACGTGACGATATGATTATCTGAATAATATTCTTTAAATAGAAACATTATATTTGCAGAATTCCTGAACAAATCTTGAGTGACTTTCATTAAGTTTGCACACTCCAGGACTGGGGAGGGGGGGGGGGGGTTGCACAATTTAGGCCCTCCTGTCACATTCCTATGCAGGTCAATATGCTAATCCAGTTTCTACGCAATTGCAATGCTCATTGTCTGATAAAACGTATGCCAGCCTCGAATTTGCCAAACTCCTTAGATGGATATAGGGTCTAGATCTATCTGAGCAATTACCACGTTATTAATTCTAAAATGGCTAAGACTGAAATAGAATATGTTAGATGTAGACATTTTCTCACCTCCTTCTCTTGTTGCCCCTTTTTCTTGTATTCTACACCTACAATCCGGCCCTTTTCTTCGACGATAGTCGTGACAGTACCTTCAATGTACGTTACACTGTATTGAAGAAAAGAAGGAATAGAAATGCTAACAAGAACTGCAATCATATCAGAACGATGTGCATGCATTAATTGACGCCCGTGTTTGTACGTGCCAAGCGAAAGAGCCTGACTATCCAGAGCAATTTGTATTAAGTCTGATAGGGGAGATAGGATAGGCGAAAGAAAGCAGCACCCCCCCCCCCAAAAAAAAAGGCCCAAAACGGACGGTGCCTGGACGGTCACGCATGAGTGATTCCGAAGAACAAAGATTTCAGTGACCTTGATGGGATGCTACAGTCAATCTGGTAAGTGGAACCGATGTATATTAGCCTAGGCCTAATTGTCAAAAATAAATGCATTGGATATGAATCCGCTAAAATTGAGTATTTCGGGCAAAGTTTTGTGGCCATAAGCGGCCACAACGTTTGCACGGCTTCGGTCTCTAAAGAGAGGAGCCGACCCTACCCAAGTAAGAGGCTAACGAACGAAAGAGACAGACATTTTCAGTCTATACAAAGACAGGCCCGTATGATAGTCAACGATATTGCCTCACATGCCATCAACTGAAAAGTATGTATCATATTTTATATGACTCTAACGTTAATCTCTCTATCACTTCACTTCTAAAATGAGTCTAGATTTTGATCCCTGACACTACTGTGAAAACTGGGGGGGGGGGGGGTGTTTCACAAATATCCTAAGTTGAACTTATCTATCAGTTGGACTTAAGAATTATGGAAAGCCGTCAGCATCTTTAAAAGTATTTTGTAGAAATTATTTTAAAAAGCATAAAATGTTGATTCATATCATCCTTATTGTCGATTATCTTGGGAGATTTCATGTTCTTGATGTGGAATTTATGAAAAGTCTAAAATACTTGAATTTCTGCTTTTGAATATATTTCACTTTAAGGCTCCAATGGCTGTCCATAATTTTTAAGTCCAACTTAGAGTTAAGTTCGACTAAGAATCTTTGTGAAACACCCCCTGGTGTTATGAAACTTACTTCTCTTCTGCCATTGCAGCCTTTCGCAGACTCATCACAAAGCGACCATGATGGAAGCAGGTTGCGGGTTGAATCTTCCCAGCTTTATCCTTGGGGTACTGGAAGTCGATTGGTTCTTTGGTAATTGGATCGTAAATCACAAATCCATCCATTCGGATTTCTTCGAAACCAGATGCACAATCTACAAGAATGAATTGTTTATGATTAAATACAATAATATAACCTTGAAATATGTCAGGTAAAAAAAAAATATGAGACGATCCAACCTAGCATGCTAGATGAGTTTCAAACACTGCTGCGTAGACTTCTAGCTAAGTCATGACAGCTAGACTCTACCCACACTATTCTTATCAAGGACTGCTCTTTAATGTTTGCCTCTTTTATTTCACATATTATCAACTTAAAGCCCGTCTGTACTAGTTTGGCCAGGGGATTAGACCATCCAGTGAGGTCATTGACAGGTGGCTATCTCATCAGCTCTGCTCTCAATTAATTGATTTGATTTGATATGATTTATTAAATAAAAAACATTCAAATAGCAGCCAGAGGCTGAAACAAATTGAATTAACATAAGAAGAAGAGGATCATGGGGGACCAACGGGCACCGCTAAGGCACTGTGTTTTTTTTTTTTTATATAAAGGGAGTAAGTAGCTACATGTAGTACAGTGGGGCTTTAAGTAATGATCAGGCCTATGTACCTTCTGCGCTCAACACTGCCTACATTCTTCATTTATCAAAGAAGCCTAACCTAGATTCTAAAATGTTCAAGAATTATCGTTCAATTTCTAACCTCCCTTTTTCGTTCGAAAGACTTGAAAGCGTTGTGTTCTTTAGATTTGATTCTTTGGATCTTCTTCAGTGTTTGTAGCTGTATTTTTTTTAACCGTTTCTTTACAGAGTAGCGGTTAGGTTGTAGTAATGGCTAGTCTAGTTCTAGTCCCTTTTATTGATTTTTTTAATATTCGCAGACTAAAAGCGTTAAGCCGAGTGATGGCGCGATCCATAGTGACGGCGCCATCCTTCCGGATCGGTTCTCGGGATCGAGCCGTCACTAATAAAAAAAAAATCAAGAAAAGGGTCCAGAACTAGACTAAGTAATGGTTGGCTTACCACCGAGGCCTAGTTCGGTCAGAGCTTGACGTCCACCTGGCTGGAAGAGCTCACCAACGATCCGATCTGGTTCCTTCATGTCTCGTTCAATCACTGTCACTTTACGTCCATCTCGTGCTAAAACAGTCGCCATAGCAGAGCCCAAAATACCAGATCCAACTATGATCACTTCAGGACCGTTGTTGTTTTCGTTGACTTTCATCCTACGTCTAGGTTTACGGGTCTGGTGGAGAGATAATTGAACACATATTTTTAACATTTGACGTATTTTTAGACTATACAAGAAGAAACCATCTAGTTCAATAAGCTTGTTATTGGTACAAAAATCATTTATTTACTACTGATGACAGTATATCAAAACAAGCAATATACTTTTTTCACACTTCACTTTTATTTTGCCGGTATCTAGTGTGCAGTCCGAAGGTTTGTAAATATTTATTAGGTAAATTTTAATATAGGCAGGAAGGGACTTCTTAAAAGGGCAAGCTGAATATATATTTTTTTTTAGCACTGATCTATTTCTATAATTCTTAATCTTGTAAACATACAGTGTAAACCGTGCTTACGTGATACCAACAGAATTCATATTTTCTGCATTATTTACTTGTACATTTTGAAGGATATTATGCGCGGGAGCGTATCGACCGAGAAGATTTCTTCATTTACATTTGTGTAAACGCTGCACTCTTGGGCCCTCCATAGCCTAAAAGTGTGTTGCAGTCTTTAGTCAGTATTTGCTATACATTTTTGTGTGTGCACTATTTCTAATTTTCCGTGGGTGTGGGGGGGGGGGGGGCGATTCCCTCTAAAAAAATTGAGGGCCCCCGGATCGCCGCCTCTGACTCGCACATTTCATTTTCAATTGCAGGACGCTCTAGCTGTGTCCAAGGGAATAGATCCTCGGAAGGTGGGGCATCTCACAAAAGACATGACAGTCAGACCGCAGCGTGCGCGATAATGAGGCTGTGCGGCAATTTTTATTCAGATTCCCGTTCGGTGAAAAGCTCGCTTACAACGCTCTCGTAAAACACGAGATCAGCCACGGGATTTTGGTAGCATCATTTTCTCGCCCTCGTATGGCTTACAGTGCAAATCATCATGGCGGAATCGTGGGGTAAGTCAATCTCTGAAATTTTCGCTGTTCTTTGACACCAAATTTGCCCAAATTAGTTACATTTTGGGCTTACTTTTATCGCAAACAAAAAGAGCGTTTTTTAGTCCTTGGAAATTAACTACTCATTACATAGTGTCGTATTTTGCTTGTTCCTGACTGGTATTGATAATATTATTTCGAATTTTTGCATCCTACGTCGTCTTTGATAACCAGTCCATCATTTGATGTTGAAAACACGTAGATGCAAGTAATGTTTGAATAAGAAATACGCCCAAATTATTGGACTATATTTTGGAAATCTACCGGAAGTAGACGGAAAATGATTAGAAACCGCGGGGAATTGCTATGGCTACGGCCTTTTAGTCAGGAATGGCGGGGTTTCTTGTGTGTCGCTGCACGCTGTGCCATTGTGTGGCGCATACAGCAGGAATTTATGTAGTCCCATGTGTATATATTTTTGTCAGCTTTTTAGTTTTGTTGTCGCAAATCGACAGCAATGTAAATAAATCGACTGCTCGTTAGTCATTGCTATTCATTATAAATCTAGATCAAATGATATGTTTTAAATGTATATTTACAAGGGTTTAAACATGTTTAGACAAGTAATGAAGGGGTTTGATAACTGATCGAATTGTACTGGAATCCTGAGCTGAGCGAGTGAGCCGAGTTGAGCTGAGCTGGATATTGGTTATTAGAATGACAAATTACTTACAGGATAATTAATTATATTAATTTGGAATTCTCAAACTTTGGTTCTGCCTTCTGCTTAACTCAAACCTTACAGCCAGCCACAGAAATGAGCAGCATTTCCTTGTGCGAGTTGTAGACCTATATATTAATATTATGATTATGAACAGAGCAGAATTAAAACAAAAAGCCAAAGGTAAATACTTACATTTTAGAACTTGTGCACATCTTGAAAAATGAAGGGAAAACTTCATGAATCTGACACCTGTAATTTGTTTTCATTTAAAAAAATAAATTTGAAAGCAAGCCAGTTTTGTCTACCATAAATGGCTAGCTACTTTGATAAGATCTTTTCAAATCCCCATACATTGAACTAAGACATTTTATTCTTCTTATCATTTGTTGTTGTTTTTCTGACAGACGCACTCAACCATCGAAGCTTGCGGGACATTGACAGACATCACACGTCAGTCTCCATTGCATTCCTGGATCAACATTTACTGGACTCCATGCCTTTGTTCGTTTTAATGGTTATTTATTTGAAGACTCAACCGCAGTTTTGCTTCACGTTGGAACAAACAATCTTGAACGGGGAGTTTGGGAGAAGGACGAGAAGGATTTTGTTCAGCTTATTCCTTTCAATAAAACGAAAATCTCTGATACTTCCAAAGTTCCAAGGTGGGATTCCGGAGCTTCACACGAACGATGCATTTATTATATTAATAGAAAACTGACTGAACTGTCACCTTTATACAATTTAACAATATTTAACTCTAATAATACTTTTATTCTCAGCGACACATTTAATGCGTGTGATGGTCTCAACATAAATGTCAAAGTCAGTTTATAAATAAAATATAAATATTAGAAAATGCAAATTTTATTCCTAGTCCTATCGCATTTATTATTTGTAGTAGTGTTAAATAATACATTTTTTTGTCCATTTACTAGGCTATTCAGAAGAAACTAGACCTGGTTTTCTCTTGGGTTAGTTGGCATGAATTTTGATTTAGAAATGTGAATTACACAGACCTGTTAAATAATAGCCCCCCCCCCCACAAAAGAAAAACAATCTTTTTAAAAGATATATTTTGCAGATTTGTATTTCATCCAGAAATAGTACCTACACAGGGTAAACATAATATAAATAGTCAAGCATTGACATATTTTGATATGTTGGTGATGATGATTGTGATGGTGGTGATGGCGACGGTGGAGATGATGGCTATGGTGATGATGATAATGATGACGGTGATTATGATGATGGCAGTGGTGATGATGTCAGTGGTGATGGCGATCATGATGGATATGGCGATGATGATGATGATGACGGTGATTATGATGGCTATGGTGATGATGATAATGATGACAGTGATCATGATGACGATGATTATCTTGATGGCAATGCTGATGGTGGTGATGATGAGGGTGATTATGATGGCAATGCTGGTCGTTAACGTGATGGTGATGATGGCAATTAATGGCGATGTCGGTGGTGCATGGTGATGATCATGATGACGGTGATTGTGATGCAATGCTAATGGTGGTGATGATGATGTAGGTGGTGACGGCGATGATGGCTATGGTGATGATGATAATGATAATGATTGTGATGGCGATGACGATTGTGATTGTGATAATGATGTTGAAGATGAAAATTAGAATTCTACAAGTTTTATTTGAGCCTTTCAGCCCACCGCACACTTATATTTCTATCCAAGGGTCATATTACACACAAACAAACCCCGAAAATAAATTTCCAGATATATATATATTCCGCGGGTCACTTTAAAACAAAATCAAACAGAAAAGAGAACAAGGGAAAGAATTTTGTAATATTTTATTTCCAGGAATACACATGAACTGGAGTAACGCAATTGACAAAAGAATTATGAAATAAAATATTACCATCATCGAATGTCTGGGAATTACCAAAAGAAATTCCTGTTTAAGGCTCTTCTAATTAGCCCATGGTTTACAAATATAAAAACACATTTCAGAACTTTTACAACCATGAAATTAATAGCAGGGATGGGAACAATCATATTTTCAATTTTCAATAACATTGCCCCCCCCCCCCTGAAAGTTTGTATTTACACAAACATACATTTCATAACGAATAATGTGTCTTCTTTGTTAAAATGATATCAAAGCCTGGCCAAAAATAGCCTTTATAGACACTTAAATCCCCTCTTCTGTCCCTATAGAGCTGGAATTCTTTATTGTACTTGTGTGCGTATCCGTATCCAACTTTGTACTTTCCGTTCACTTCTATAATTATGTAGCGCATGAGTATCGTACACAATAATAAGTATGTGGGGCAATACAAAAGCCTCTACGACCGGGGGTTACGCACACGAGAGTAATTCATGAATATCCCTAATCTCCGTCTATTTTCCGTGCGTGTTCACGTATAGCGCGCAGACTGGTTGGACCGCGAATCGACGCATAGCTATATATAACGTGGTATCCCCGGTTGATCTCGATGCGAAACGCTCGTCGATCGGCCATGTCTTATTTTCCGCCGGAGTCTATTATGCATTAGCTACTACTTTGCTTGTTCCTGACTGGTATTGAGACAGACATTCACAGGAAGTATAATATTATGTTAGGAAAATATCTACATTATGTGGTAAGCCAAAATTCAGCGAGATGCACCCCCGATAAAAATGGTTATTTAACGTGTATATCCGACTCTTCAAATATTTTTTTTTGCAAGTTTTTTTTGGTGTTTTTTTCACATTTTGAAACTTCACTCACTATTTATTGAATAGTACATTATAATGTTTATAGTTCTGGCTCAATATTCATGACGAATTCAATGTCATTAAATGAATCCTGAGCATAGCAGAAAGATGAGAACTGTGCCATGTTTTCGCTTATTACGTATTCATGAGGAGCAAATTCGTGCATACGATATGAATAAATGGAAGCGAATTCGCGCACGCTGCGGTCTGACTGATGAGGAAATATGTGTACAACATCCTCATCGCGAGCGTGCAGTTTGTGACACGCTGTCGTGTGAAAGGCCAGGGAAAGACACAGACACAAAACCTCCATGGGTGCGATGTGACGTGTGTGGACGTATAGCCGCGCTCCACCTACTTTGTGTTTTGCTCAAAAAAGTATCCACACAAAAGGACTATGTTTGCCTTATCTGTAAAGCGACCTATCAGTAAACCTCAATTGTAGGCCACAGTCCATGGGCCAGTACCCAATTTTTCATATATCGGTCCCTTTCTGGATTGCCCCGCCCCCTTCCCCCAAAGAAAAAAGTATTTTCAAATTGTTACATGTGTGCACAATATAATTATATTGATGTCAACCTAACGAAAGTGGTAATTTCATTATGTGTATTGACCTCCTTTAAATTTATATTGATATGAAAGACTTAGAAGACAACATTCCAAAGAGTGTAGGGC